TCACATGTGGATTCCTCTGCGAATGGATCGATCATAGGAAAATCAGTACAACAAACCTTGGATTTATTTGAGTTAATTGCCACTACACATTCAATGTTTTCATCAGAAAGAGTGGTACCACCGAGAGCATCTGGGATGTATGAATTAAGTAGTAAAGTATCTACGAGCGCGTAGATGGAAACTTTGACAAAGAAGGTAGAGCTATTGGTGAAATCACAAACGAGTGGAGCACATGCCTTGAGTAAATCTCAGACACTTATTCAAGAAAATTTGACTTTTGATAAGAGATTGTTAGCCCAATTAAGTTTTAGAGATTGAAGCAATCAAACTTATTGAAAAATCCTTATTTACTGTCACATTGAACTGCAATTGGTAAGATTTACCTAACTAGAGAGGTGAAAATAGTAGAAAATCAAACCTTAGTTCATACACTGGAAATAGCGAAAATAGTAAGTTTATGGGTGTATAAATCTTATGAGTGATAAAAAATATATTTGGCCATTGAGAGTCAAAAATTGAAACAATTTATGAATTCATAATGTTATGATTAATTCTTCACACGCGTGCATGTCGATTTTACAATGGAAAATTAGATTTTGATTTCTGTATTATCATTTTGAAGTTGTTCATAGATTTGATATTATGTGAGTGTTTGACACCCATTTTAATGGGAATAGAAATTTTGGAATAATGATTGTTGGGAGAATGTTTGAAGAAAAAGTGATGAAAAGCTTTAGATTTGTGTGTTATATTATTTTATTTGAAAAATGTATGATTGAAATGAAGAAAGATAAAAAAAATTAAAGAGGATGGGTGCCAAATAGGGATTATGATTTCAATCCCGAGATAAAATGCGGGGAAGAAGTCAAAATGCGATTGAAAGTGGGAAAAGATTGCGGCTGAAGCAAGAGGTAAAAGAGGAGGGGGAAAAAAAAGAAGAAGAAAGAGGAGGGAGTCAATGAAGTTGGAATGAGAAAAGTCAAAAAAATAAAAAGGCAACATAAAGGAAAGAGAGAGAAAATGCAGAGAGAAAAGAGGAGAGAATGAGAGAGAAAAAAGAAAAAAAAATGAAAGGAGACTACAGACAGCAATTTCATGTTTCGTTAATTTTTGATGATCTCGTTTCAATTTTTCATATTTTTATTTTTACAGTATGAATAACTAATTTTCATATTAGAGAAAACAATGTAATTGACTTGTGATCCTTTATTTTTCTATTGAAAATTTATATGATTTATTCTTTTGTGTGTTGATTTTACTATGAATTTTAATGCATTGAATTAATTGATCATTAATTTAATGATTATGTGAGTCTTTTATGAATCGAAAGATGGGTTTGAGATTTAGATCATATAGTAAAATCTGCTAAATTAGTATAACGTGTAGAGATACATATATTAATTATTGCGGTCATAATATGAATTTTTAGGACTGGTGTTTCATTTAACTAAGTTCACATATAGATATGAATTTGGTTACAGTGTGTAACCATTTTTAAACGATAATAATCCATCTGTAATTTGCTCGTATAATAAATTTCTGCTCATTTTCCAATCAAACCTTAATGCAATTTGTTAAGGTAATCAAAGTGGAAAATCTTCCAACTTTTTCAGTAACTTCATCAAACATCTAGTTTGAGTTCTTTATTCGTAGTCATATAGGTCTAAATTCCAAATCTAGTGCACCTTGTAGTTCATTACCAGCTTTTGGATCTTTGTGGTGACCGAGTCGACCTCATCCACGTTTGATATATTTTTGCCATTTTGTAAAAAATAATTATTTAATATTACGATGGTTGAAATGCTTTTTTTTTCCGAGAAACGGTTGGTAAAACATAACAGTCATCTAAGTCATGATCATCCTTAATCGAGGTATATAGTACCACTTAAAATTAATTTTTCGTTAATTGGCTATTCCATCATTGTATCTGGATTAGGATAATTCAAGAGGAGCTCGACATCCATTACATTTTTGTACTCATTGACTAGAAAATCGTTTCATGTAATTTATCCATAGAGTAATAATTATTCATTCACCGATGAATATATAACCTCTTTATTATTATTTTATGGAGGTTTTACGGTATAAAGCACATAATACTCTGATTTTAATCACATCATCAAAACTCGAGCACGGTTCACATTGTGGAAACCTTCAGTAACAACAAGAGTTGCTTGATCATCAAAAAGCCAAATAACATTACAAGTCGTCTCGTTCTTGCCCCTAAAAGATGTACTTCGCTAAATACTTTAAACGAGATTTTCTATTCTTGTATTTAAATTTCGAGCTTCGCACACTTTCTCTTCTCTTCGTCTTCACCCGCAAGGTACATCTTGTTCCGTCGCGGAGGTGAAAAAACGACAGAATGAAAGCAAGTAATTGAATTTTTCCTTCTTTGTTATTTCTGCGTCATTTACATTCAAGAACACGGGTTTTGAAAGAGGGAATTAACATGAAATTATTATTTATATTATTATTGCCAATATGGAACCCAGTAAGCAAAAAATGACTGCAGTACTGTATCGTTTCTCCTAGTTTCAATAATTTGGACTTTTGTCTGGAGTTGTTGAAATTGGAAAATACTGTTTCTTTCCCTTTTCATTCTTAGCTGTTTCGCAAATATCGAATTCTGCGCACCATTTACTTTATCTATGCGACGGCCTAACAATTTTGGAATTGCTGATATATTGAAATTTTAGAATAATGATTTTTTGTACAATGTTGAGTTACAATATTAGGTTACAATCCCTCACAAGTGAGGTGTAACCCACTATTATTTTAATCACGAGCCCACCTCCCTTGTGAAAGGTTGTAACCTCATGTTGTAATCCATGTTTTGTACATATAGCATTTCCCAAAATTTTAATAGCGCGTTTAGCATGTCTCGTATACTGAATAGGACGAACAATTTAGAAAACCATTTATCGACATTCCAATCTATCGTTACGACCTTGGGCGCTTGAAACCAAGAACTTCTGGACACTAAAATACACCAGCAGGTAGGCATCATAAACTTCTACAATAAGGACCAAAACCTGCTTTTTAAGGAAACCAACTTTCAGTAAACTTGTCTACCTAACCAAAATAGTTGGTAATCAGAAATTTAACTAAGGCCATGCAAGGATATTTGAGACAAACCTAAACAGTGTGTAGAAACAATTTTAGTCGACCAAAATATAAAATATAATATATAGAAAATACGAGTCAAATACAAATTCTTACACTGCAAAATCAAGTAACACATATAGCAATAGAAAGGTCTAGATTAACGTCGTGATTTCGCAAAGAAGAAGCCAGAGTGCTGATTAATGTTAGACCCTGCTGGTGTAGGTCGACGATATTGCCTCACTGACAATTTCACTCGTGGAACAACCACTTCCCGGCAATGAGAGGGACAACGACAATTCACAACCCTCAATTTCCTCACCTGCAGTGTGAATATGGCCGAAGCGCTCAAGTTTCCTTTGCTCAAATGATCCACATTTTTCCTTCTCTTGGTTCGGAACCACCTATCGAACAACAAGA